GAATACAGTATAACACTGCAGAAAATATTCGAATAATATGAGCGCGGCGAAGCCCACAGAATTTCACCATTCCACCTGGTCTTGAAAAGTTTTGTTGGACTGGAAATCGCTTTTCATAGAACTATTGTCTTCTTATATTTTGCCATCTGTTCTTTATTCAGAGAATTCACGAAAAATGTTGAGTCTTGTTGATAGTTTTGTTCGTCTCTTTGGGGGTTTGCTCGTTTCTGAAGCTCTACATATGATGTGTACCTTTCTTCGGACGCTCTTTCCATCGTGTCCAAGTTAGGGACGTGCACGACGTGGCCTGGAGAAGCTTTCTATCTTCCAGATCCTTGTGAACTAACGTTTTGCTACCTCTTCTATCTAATGCTGCTATGTCTGGAAATTCTTTTGCTTATTCGGAAGTTTCGTCACTGTGGTCATTCTGGTTGTCTTCGCTGTGGCCGCTGCGGTTGACATCAAGGTGGAATGTCGGGTGGCGCATCCATACTCCTATTTTGCTCAAGAGTCCAGTGGCTCAAAGAGTCTGAGCCGAAATAAGCAGCGTCACTTCCTGGACACCCCCAACATCCCAACCATCCCTAGCAGCAGCGAAGTAGCACACTTGCCGTTACTTACTGGTTACAAACTCCACGGCTGGCCTATTTATCCTCGGGGGCACTGGAGGAAGAACGCAGCGGGTTTTTGTTTGGTCGCTTGGCCTTCTTGCGAAGGCATGGCTGGGACTCTATTGACAGGACCTACTGCCATCGTTAGCTGGTGTTTGCTGATTGCCGTTCCACATTTGACGCAGGAACTACCCGCGACTCCACTGTATGATGGTCGGGTTCCCAAGGTAGGTGTGGAGTCTTCCAAAGTTGAGAACCGCCAAGTGGACTCAACAAGTCGGCTGAGTCTAAGGGCTGGCCGCGTCCACTTGGAACTTGAGTGTACACAGCGTCCTGGACGAACAAAACACATGAGAACGCAAGCGGCGGACTGTCCTGTTCGTTGGCGTCTGTCGCGTAAGAAGAATCCACGCGCACAGGGCACAACAGCAGCTTTACAGCAAGAAACGCGACCATCGGCCTTGGTTTTTTCAAGTATGTGCCTGCATCTGGCCAAGGTCATACCGTTGGCCAAAAGCTTGTTTGTGGGTTTCGTGTTCTCAAAATAGCCAATGATTGCTATCCCTTGCTCAAGACACAAAACACGGTGGCTGCCTGAAAATTGGGGTGTTTTGCTGCCCTGAACCGCAAGCCCCGTTTTGTAGCAATTCGACCCGGGTTTGGGTCAGGAAAGTCTTTGCAATCCAAGACTATATGGTTTTTGGGGCGTAGGATTTAGGGCCACCGCTAAGCGTGTTTTGTAACAGCAGTTTTGGGCAAAGGTGTAAGGATTTGGGCATCTTGTTTCGGTGTTCGTAGCGAATTCATATATCAGGTGTGATTGCCTTGAAGCCACATAAAAGGCATTGCTTATGGCCTTGCCATGGCCTACGTCCTCGCGCAGACCATCTACTACGTCAGGAAGAAGGCGTGAAACGAATCCATATTCCTAGCACTCCTGAGACTCTTTTTCATTCCTGTTCGGAATGAGAGGTTTTTTGAGATGTCACCTGTAAGAGTCCAAGAAAACGGGTAATTCCAAACAGGATCACCTTTATCAAACTCCATGCTTCCTGCACAACAAGTCCCCAAGCCTTCAGCCGTAAATCCGAAACCTCAAGCCCTTAAACCCTAAGACCCTAAACATGGCCAAATCCTCAGCCACGAAAGCCTGGAACCTCCAAATCCCGCCTCTTAAGGCATCATCCACCCCTTTAGCCTTCCAGGACATCGTCCGGCACAAGTACTGGGCCACAAAACTGTTCGGCTACTCCCAGGCAATTGCCCTGCAGCGGCCGCCCGGCTTCCTTTTCAGGGGGATTTAGGGACTTAGGGGTGTCGGGGTTTCGGGTCCCAAAAGAGTGCCAATCTGAGGGACCCTATACTTCCATACTGGACCAAAAGCACTGTTGACAAAGGAGCAGGTTGAAGTTTCGAACTGTTTGACGGCTTTGGAGTTTCAAGTTACCTGTTCTCGGACTAGGTGTCATTGAAGCAAGGGCTTACAGAGTCTCAAGAGTCTCGGGGTCCAGGTCTGGTTTTAGCAGCAGGATTTATCTTGTCGCCTTCGTCGTGCTGACACTCGCCGACGACGAGAACTCGCCGTACAACGCCATCACGCCTTCCTCGACCCTTGCTCAGCGCAATGCCGAGTCCAAGGAGCATCGCTCTTTGCTAAGGCAGGGTTTAGGGTTTAGGGTTTAGGGTTTAGGGTTTAGGGTTTAGGGTTTAGGGTTAGGGGTTAGGGGTTAGGGGTTAGGGGTTAGGGGTTAGGGGTGAGGGGTTTAGGATTCAGGATTTAGGGTTATAGGATTCGGTGTTAGAAGTTTTCCTGGCGCGGCATCGCGTCGGCTCTGCAGGTTCCTGCATAGCAACCGTCTTGAAACTCAAAGGTTAAGTTTAGGGTTTAGGGTTTAGGGTTAAGGGTTAAGGGTTAAGGGTTTAGGGTTTAGGGTTTAGGGATTAGGGAGAGAACTGTCCATGCAGATCTTTGCAGGAGATCTTCAATGACTCCTTCACGATGTGCATCTTTACGGCCATCGTCTTGACAGAGTGGTACCAGGCAGCTGACCACGATGAGCTTCTGGAGTATCGGGCCAAGGACATCCTGGGACAGAAGAAGTGGGGGATGGCTGCTTAGGGTTCAGGGTTCTACTTTGGGAGGCTACTACCTCAGGGGGTTGCACTATTTTAGGGGGGATTACCCCAGTTCTAGCACGGTCTGGCACAAGAAAGCAAACTCAGAAGCAGGGTGGAGGCTGTGCAGCAGCGTGGCAGCCTAGACGCTGCGCCCTGAATCCTACCCCAAAGGCGAAAGAATGCGTTGGCTTCTAGTCCCCGCAAGTATGTGAGCCGTATGTGCGGCTTTGTCTCAACAGCAGATGAGTACCCTCAATCCTCACCTTCACCAGCCCCAAAGGCCCTGACTACAAGCCTTACAACCCTCCAACCCTAAACCCAAAACCCTTAAGGCCCCTAACTTTGAACCTTAGGGACTTAGGGTTTGCAGAGTGCTTAGGGGGTTCAGGGTTTAAGGGCTTACGGTCCTTCGAGGAGGCGAAGATGAAGCTCCCCTTGGAGCAGCCATTGGTGCGTTGAGCGGAGCTCTGTCCGGTGTACGGACTTAGGGATTCTTGGGGGCGTTTAGGGCGTTTAAGGTGTTTAGGCTGTTTGGAATGGTGTAGGGGCTTATAGGGGATTAGCGCTGCGTTTTGATTTTGAAGATACAAATTGGGAACTCCATGAGCCCTCCTGAGCCTAAGCCCTAAACACCACAAGCCCTGTGGGCCCCATAAACCCTACTCCCTTCAACCTTATGAGCGCCTCTCTTGCAATCGTTTGCTCGGTTTTCCTGGCAGCTGTCGCGCTGCGATGTGCAAAAGGGGCGAACCCTTGCCCGGCGCGCGTGCATTAGGCTTAAGGATTTCGGGCCACAGGGTTCAGAGCTACAGGAGATGTAGTATAGGGCTTTTGGGTTTTAGGGATCCCGAAACCCTAGAGACTAAACCCTAAACCCTCGGGTTCTAGGGTCGTGGGGGGTATAGGCTTGTGGTAGGGTTTGGGACTCTGGGGGCTTCTGGGGTCTACAGGGCTTTTCAAAAACCCCATGACGATGCCCAGAGGCGGCAGCCACACACCTGCGAACACCGGAAGTCGCAGTCTCAAGATGCGTGCGGTGTTCGTTTTGTTTTCATTCCCAGAATCTTTGGGGCTTTGGAGTTCGGGGTTTGAGGTTTTTGGGTGTAGATGTTTCGGGGTTTGGAGTTTTTGCTTTTTTTCTGAGTTTGGGATGTAGAGTTTTGGGGTTCAGAGTTTTGAGGTTTAGAGTTTTGGGTATTTAGAGTTTAAGAAGCCAATGCCGTGTTTTTGGGTGGACTTTGTTCCTAAAGTCCGCGTGTAAGTCCTTGGAGAGGATTAGTAGGGGTCTAAGAGTTTCGAAATTAAGGAGTCTTTCAATTTGGAAGAACCCGGGTTTAGCAACAGTAGGTGTTGGTGGAGGAATGTGCTGATTCTCCTCGTAGTCGTGGCGTTTTCGTCTGCGATGTCGATGAAGAAGGCTTCGAGTTTCACAAATTCAAAACCCGGAGCCTAAACCCTAAACCCTAAACCCTAAACCCTAAACCCTAAACCCTAAACCCTAAACCCTAAACCCTAAACCCTATGAACCCAACTTGGGCCAGGGGAGGCCGCCACAGCTCTCGGTGCCAAGAATCCCAACGCAGCCTAACATCCCTATAAGCCCGGGCTTAGCATAAACCCTAAACCCTAAACCCTAAACCCTAAACCCTAAACCCTAAACCCTAAACCCTAAACCCTAAACCCTAAACCCTAAACCCTAAACCCTAAACCCTAAACCCTAGACCAACCCTAAACCCTAAACCCTAAATTAACCCTAAACCCTAAACCCTAAACCCTAAAGCCCAAAGCCCTTGAAGCCCTAAGCTCAAGGCTTCAGCGGCGGACGCAATTGGTGCCCCGCCAACTTGGTGGCCCTGGCTTTGCTTGGTTTCGGGGCTTGAGGGGCTCAGGGTTTGATGCAGGGGGTTTCATTGCAGTTAGGGTTTAGGCCTTAAAGGGTTTGTAGTTTATGTAGGGTTTATGTAGGGTTTTGTGATGCTTGCAGGTTTCTGGGGTCTAGGGTTTACGTTACGGGCTTCGTGATGCTCGCAGGTAGTTTGGGGCTCAGGGGTTGAGGGTTTCAGGTTTCTGGGGCCTAGGATTTACTCCGGGGTTGAGCCTCTTTAGGGTTTGGGAGTTGAGCAGCTTCAGGGCTTCGGGCTGATGGTAGAATGTTCAGTGTGCATTCGGCGCTTCTTCCAGGGTTCCATCTTTCTAGGAGACGGCCAGTGTATGCTGTAAACGTCAGGATGCCTTCCTGCATGGTTGGGCATTTCCCAAAATAGGGGTACCCCGTCTTGAACCCAAATAATGCAGAATCCCCTTTAGGGATCCCAAAAAAGGGAACCCCTATTTTTGGAAACCCCCAGAGCATCCTGTGGAGCTTCTCGTCTTGGTGCTCTCCGTTGTGTGCTTCCCACGCTGGTGTGGAGGCTGCGCGGTCTATGTTCACGAGCGACTCCACTGAATCGCTCAACCCTAAACCCGAAGCCCTAAACCCGGAATCCTGAACCCTAAACCCTGAACCCTAAACCCTAAAGCCTAAACCCTAAACCCTACTAAACCTTAACAACGCCACAAGCCCTGTTTCCTCCCACCAAGGAGTGTCGTGTCGGTCCCTGGCCTCCCTGTAGATTCCTTAAACTCTGTTAAACTTCCTGCCTGGCTCGATAACTTGGCAGGCTCTACACCTTTAACACCCTTACAAGCCCTATCAGCCTTTTTGAACAGCCCCGTAAACCCGTTTTATAAAGCCTAAAAACCCGAAGCCCGAAATCGTTTAGGGGGGGGGGGTGGTTCAGGCGGGCCCATGTAAGCCAGGTCAGCTGCGGCGTCTGCACTTGCACCACCAGGACCGCAGCTGACTCTTCTTTTGCCCTCTGGGGCTGTAGTGAGTGTCATATGGGAGTTCTGGGGGGTTATAGGGTCTGGAGCCCCAGTAGGGTTTGGGTTCGGTTTTTTGGGATTTACTGCGCCGGGCCAACAGTTCGACCCACCGACACCTAGAAGTCCTTACACCTGTGCCCCGCCCTCTTCCCCATAGACTCCTGACACAAGTCAGCCTGGGGGCCTCCTCCGGAACTAATTTCTCCGCTAGCAGGCGTAGTGAAAACGCCACTTCTCGGCACTCCGCTACTCCGCGTGAGTCTTCGCTTTCTGCGTGCCATCCAACATGTGCTGTGGGTCGAAACTTTCGGCCCGGGGGTGTACGGCATGTATCGTGTAGCGTCCCCGGGCGCTCCCCTCAAGGAAGCAAGTCTAGTTCCCGAAGCCCCTTATCCATGAACCCGAAACACCCTATAAACCCCGAAGCCTAAACCCTCAACCCTCAAGCCACGCAAGCCCTGGGACCCTTTTAGCCCCATACGGCTCAGGAGTGCTTGCCGGTACTGCGACGGCTACGGTGGCCCTGCTAGCGTCAGCGCGAGCCCGCGAGGCGTTGAGCGCCCGTGAACCTCCAAATTTCCCTACACCCATAAAACCCTGAGCCTGCAACCCCATGAGGCCTGAACCTTTTCAACCCTATAAAGCCTGAACCCTAAACCCCAGAAACTCTGAACCCCTAAACCCTCTCAACTCTAACCCCCGATCCGAAACCCTGTTCGAGATCTTATCGGTGTTTCCAACTCAGCCCTCCTGCTAAGCAACTTTCATTCCTAGATCTCCCAAGAATGGACGCCCTATGAAGATACAACACTCCGGAGCCATTGACCTGCAGAGTTTGGGGGGTCATTGGGTTTAGGGTTTAGGGCTTAGTTGGGGTTTGTAAGGCTTGCTTTTGAGTTTTTAGGGATAGAAGGGCGGACCCGTAATCTTATTCCCATGTAAATGTCGTCCCTAAGTTATATAATATCCCTAAGTCGCCAAAATGTAGCCCCCAAGGTCCCCTATGAGGGTCCCTCCTACCCTAAACCCTAAACCCTAAACCCTAAACCCTAAACCCTAAACCCTAAACCCTAAACCCTAAACCCTAAACCCTAAACCCTAAACCCTAAACCTTTAGAGTGAAAAGGTCAGCCGTCAACTCCCAGGTGCCGCGCTTGCGGGGGTACTCGTGGCGCTTCCGCTCGCCATGTCTTTCTGAGCAGTATAGATCTCCGATTTGCAGGACAGTTGGCACAAAAGCTGCCAGTTCCATCGTTGGGAACAAAGATGAAGCAAACTGAGGTTTAGGGTTTAGGGTGGTCTAGGGTTCTTGTTCGGGCCCAAGCCCCACCAATCTTTGCTTCTGCTTTGCTTCCTGAACCTTCTCTGCTGCGGCCAAGAGAGCTGCGCAGCCGGACGGCGACAGTCGAATGCCAGCTTCGATATGCTGGGGGAGTTGCTTTTCTTTCGGCATCGAGTCCCTACACCCTCAACCGTGAACCTCCAACCCTAAACCCCAAACCCTATGAACCCTCACCTGACAGCAGCTCTTCTTTGATCAGCTGGCGCAACATGAGTTTACTTGCCTAAGGCACTCCTGAACCTGTAGGACAGCCATTACCGCACTGATCCCTGAAACATGTTTCATGGTGCCCCCCCCCCCCCCCCCCCCCCCCCCCCCCCGAACTCGTGGCGGCCTTCGTGCTGCGCCGACCACTATGTAAAGAGTCTTCCAAGCGGCTCCGCTTGGGGCGCCCCGCCTGGGGTCCTGGCAGTCTAAGCTCCCAGGCCTTCAGTTCCTAAAAGATTGGCTTCAGCAGTTTGGGGTTGTCTTTTGAGGGATTCTGAAGCGATTTCATTTCATCAGGTTTCGGGTTTTTTAGGGGTTCTGCCAGTCGGGGTTCAGAGCCAAGCCACGAAAAAGCCCCTTGAGAACCCCCTGGAAACCTCGAAAAAACAAATTTGGGAAGCCAATGTAGCCCTAGACTCGCCAAAGTAGTCAACGGATCTCCGCGCACTGCCGGGCCCCCGGTGCTTGCTTAGATTTATTTCCCACGCGCGCGATCTCTGCAGGACCCTTGTAGCTTCAAGCACTTCAGGGATTTTGGGACCCTTTTTTCGGGGTTTGGGGTTGAGGGTTCAGGTTCTGTAGCTTCAAGCATTTTCAGACAATCAGACTCATGGGGTCTACAGGGGTCTCGCTAGACTAGACCCCGGACCCTAACCAAAACCGTCAAGATACGATGAGGCCCCTATCAAGTCACTGGACGCTTTCAGGTGAGAGTGGGTGGTGCAGGTGAGTTCTCAGAGCAGGGGAGCTTGCCCAGAGACTCCAAAACCCCTTAATTAAGGAATATACCTTAAATCATATTAGGGTTCCTATTATAATTTAAGGTATATTCCATAATTAAGGGGTTTTGGAGTCTCTGGGTGTAGGGTTTCGGGGAGATTTCGGAGGCATCAGCGCTTGGGGGCACATTGGCCTAGGATTTCAATCGCCGGGCAAGGGGAGGAGGAGGAGTGGGGGCTCGGCTCGGGGCCTCGCCGGCACAGGGTTTAGACTGCATTGCTTCGGAACTTGCAGCAAAGTCTGAACCCTAAACCAAACGCTGTAA